TCCATCGACCTCTCTTCGTGTCCCGTGCAAAGAGAATTCGTCGTCGAGAAACGCGACGAGTAAAATTCCGGACTGGCCTCCCTCGTAATCGTACGTCCAGAACGTTTGTTTCTCTTCTCCTCACGATATCGCGCGTGCGTCGTTGAGCGTAATCGCGAGGCGTGCGTACGTAAACGTGAAAGTCGGTGGCACGAGCTCTCCATTGATAAAAAGCCAAGAGACGATAAGACGGCAAGAGTCGCGTGGTCCCACTATCAGAAACTCCGACGACGACTGGACACAAACCTTCTCTACCTCGTACATCAACGCTCGTGGTTGACGGGGAGGGCAAGGAGCGACAGAGACGGAGAGAAGCGGCGGTGGTGGGGGAATAAACAGGGACGATCATCCCCACTACCAATATATATATATATATATATCGCTCTACGTCCAACTCCCACGCAAATTCTCTCCAGGATGAAAACAAGCTATCCTCTTTGGATTCGATCAACGTTTCTGTCACGATTATTGCTTGGCGTTTCCTCGATATTGCTTTCTTTTTTTTTTTTTTTTTTTTTCCTTACATAATTTGTTTTGAACGATTGATTTTTTTTTATCAATTTCGTATTGGAGATTCGTTCTTCTACGGATTTTGTATTAATCGTTCGTGCATATATACGTATAATTTTACATATATGTTTAATGTAATCGGTATATATTAAATTTCATTTTTCAGGCTAAATAGGATGTAAATAAGATCTCATTTGTAATTTGTAATTGTGTTGCGAAGCATTATTAAAGTATTTGGTTAAACTTTGGAATGATGAATCGTGGAAAATAATTTTATAAACGTAGTTGATGCATCATTAATATTAATTACCTGTTTAACATTCATACTATGCGAAAACAAAATAATAAAGCTGTAATGCATTCATTTAGAATTAATTGGACATTATTTTTTAATATAAATAATAAAATATTTATAACTTCAAAAAAGAATTGAATTTTTTTTCTTATGTGTGATCATTTATTTTTATCTTTTAAATCGTTCGATTTATTTTATTTTATAAAAATAAAGCGGTCATCGTTGATCATAGGATACAAAAGAATTTATGTATATACGTAGAATCGTCAGGTTTTCAAAAGTTCAATTTTGTCTCAGCTGCTTGTTGAACATGTGCAATCGCAACGTTGTTTTATTTTCTCAACTCTAAAATTATCTCCGCGCGCACGGAGGTGACGATGGTGGGAGTACGATAGGGGCGATTATCCCCTCCAATCTCTATTTACTCCCACTCCTCGCTTCTCCCCACCACAACGACGAATACGAGCCAGTTACCTTTCCACTTTCGTGTTTCTCCTTCGTGCGATCACACTTCTATTCGAAACTACGTATCTTTTGAATTATGTATTCGTTATAAAATATATGCAAATATAATGCAAGCAACGCATGCTCCTGTAGCTGTTTCGTAGCAAGTTTTGAAAGTTTCTTTCGCGGGAACAAATACAGATGGCGGAAAATGAAAGCGCAACTTGCGCGCGAATAGATCATATAATTCAAATTGATTTTAACAAATTCTCAAAATATACCGATTCTTTTGCAAATTGAAAATTAATTTTCGTATTTTTTCCATTATATTTTTAAATGTGAATATAAATTCTCCTCGTCGAATTGCTCGTTGAATTGAAAATGAAAGGTATTCAACCACGACCAGGGAGGCAAATTTAAAGACAATGCACCCTTTGTCTGTCCACTAAAAAGAAGGTTGCCCAATTCGTGGATTTTCCCTACACAAATTCTTCACGGAACAATGGATGTTTTAGTTTCCAATCCAACAATTCACTCTCGAGGAGATATTTAAAATAACAATCTACCAAACTATTTATCTTCCTCGTTCCTTTTGTCTTATTTATAGAATACCTTATTAATGGCCTTGTTTCGCTAGCTCGAACGTTCCAACAAAAAAAAAAAAAAAGAAATCAATGCTTCGAACAATCTCGTTGGAAATTCAATCACCGTTACGATGCTGCACAAGCCTTGCCCGGCCTCGTTCTTATTGCCTTTAAATCCCAAGTTCCTCCGGTAAGAAAGGCAATAATCTCGCGAGCCGTTTTCTTACAGTCTCGGTGAAAGCCCTCCGCGAAAACTTTTCGATATTCTCGGGGATGAAGAGAGAACTCTTTCCGGACCGACGAAGTTATTATCGAGGTGAATGGAGAGACGCACAAAGAATATTGGACAGACACATTCATACCCGATCCTCTTTGTTCGAGAGGTGTGAAAAGCCACGAGAGGATTCGGGCAATTTTTTTTCCCNCTCTCTCTCTC